TCAGAGCCAGGTTTATGAGGGCCACGGAGCTCTGGCCTGTCCCTCTCCTACAATCCCCAACAAAGCCTTGCTGGTCAGCCAAAGCCACTGGCCAGACGCTGCTGCCCTCGGCAGACCAGGCAGGGGCGGGGCCGGCCGGGAGAGAGGGCTGGTCAGTCCCACTCAGAAACCACTTCCTGGGCAGCGTGAAGGAAGTGAACCTCCGGAAACGCCTGGGACGGACGCCTCTCCCTGGGGCCCAGGCCTTGGCAAGTGGACAGATGGTCCCAGAACCAGAGAATCCCATCTGCTCCCCAGGCCCCAGAGCACAACAACCAGTCTTTCCAGCCAGCGGTGCTGTAAGGGACAGAAGACCTCCCCCCACTAGCCGATGCGTACCCCAGCCTGTGAACTAATAGCCCACTTCCTCCTCTGTGGCAGCAGCCAGAATTGCTGCCCATACGGCACAGCTGATAGGGCCCCTCCCCCCCGTTCATGACCCCTGCCTCTCATCTCCTTGCCAAGCCCTGGTCAGCCTGCGGGCCTACAGCAGGTGGGCAGGGCAGCTGCCACCAGTCTCCTTGGAGCCCACTGTGGTCATGACCATACAGGGTTCTGCTCAAAGTGGTGCCATGCAATGTATGGGCACTTGAGTGCATGGGTGAGCGTCAGGGTGCACGTGAGCATGCCCGTGGGTAGCTGCCTACGAGTGAGCACCTGCATGCCCCCTCCATGTAGCGTGAGTACAGACACCTGCAATCTGGGGGAGTGTGGCCAGTGAAGCCTGCTTCCTTCACCCCGCGTGAACACACACAGGTCTAGGCGGGCTAAATGTAGGAGAGCTGAAAGTGTGCCGGCGCCAAAGGGGCTAACTCAACTGCTTAGGGAATGAGGTATGCTTCCACCCCCACACAGTGAGGCACACAGCACTTGTCCCCCTACACCGCACGCAGGTTTGAGAGGGAGCTGAATAAACAGAAGACATGGTGAAGTCCCTGTCCATGTTCCGTCCTGATGCCCACCCCAGAATAGAGGCTCCTGATCTTCACTCCCACTCTCCACCATTCCCAGGAGAGCTGGGAGTGGGGGGGACAGTGACGGGGAGAGGGAGGACCCCAGCCCCATTGCTGTCAGTCCCCAGACTCCAAATGCCCTTGGCACTGGAGAGCTTGGCCCCAGAGAGGAACACACAGGGTTATTTCCCTTGCAGTAGGGGTTGCAGAGACCAGGCTGGTCCCAAAGGGAGACAGACTTCCAGCTTTCTGAGGGAACCGGGCATGTCCTAAGGGCCCCTTAATCTGGAGGCTGGGGACATAGAGGGGGAAGTGGGGCATGGGAGAGAACCCCGCTGCCACTCCCAGCTAATGTCCACACTGGGGAGCTCAGGGTGCATCTTAGATTCTTTGTGCAATGAGGAACAGAGCTTGAGGCTGCAGAGAGCTATCCTGCCCCCGAGCCCTGGACTCCCTATTGCTTCACTCTAACCCACCCAGAACCTGCCACTACTTCTTGCCCCACACTACTTGGGGTAGGGGCAGGCTTCTGAGCTCTGAGGCCAAAGGTGTCCCCAGGCCAAGCCCAGGTACCAGGCAGCAAGGCCCATCCAGGCAGGGCACCCAGGCCTCACACCCAGATCAAACACACTGCACACACAGTCCCTGCCCCTATCTAGTCCCCCAGTAGAAGGGGAGGCCACCCCTGTATCCTGCCCATCAGTAGGAAAGGACCCAGTCCTACCTGGCTGGTAGTCCTGGCTCCCACTGCCACACAGATACCACCACCAGGAGAGGCAGGCTAGATGTCCTCAGACCTGCAGGAACAGGAGGAAACGGCTGAATCAGCAAGCACCATCAAACAGCTTCTCCTCATCAGCCAGTCCTAGCATGGCCTGGCCTGGCCTGGCTCTGAGACCGCAGGGCTTGCTGGATTGTTTTTCTCATCTGTGAAATGGGGTGCTAGGACAGAACTTTACTCAGGCATCAGTCAGCTACATGATGACTCTGGGTTAGGGGCTGGGATGCTGTATCCCTGCCCTGGGAATGGTTCCAGGTTGGCAAGGAGGTTAAGAGAGGCAGAGCCAGGGCTGTTGTTCCTAGCCCTCCAGTCTCAAGGAGGTTGCCCTGCAGGTTCCAGAGTCCAAAGAGGCACGCAATCAGGCACTACCACATTGTGGCCCGAGGCGATTCCTCTGAGCCTGCTTTTGAACCGGGGAGACTGTTAGCACCCTTCTCCCCAGCAGATCTGCATGCCAGCTCCTGTGTTGGACTCACAGCGTCAGAGGAGGGATGTGCACAGGCATTACGTCACCACTGGGGCCATGGGCTTCCCACAGCAGAGTGCATGGTTTGAGTCCTCACTCCTTTACTTCTGATCCAGCTTCGTGCAAAAGCTTGGCCTGGGAGGCAGCAGATGAGGACTCAAGTCCTGGGGTCCCTGTTCCACCCATGAGTGAGTTCTGGGCTCCTGGGCTCTATGTGACCCACACTGGCACAGCCCTGGCTGCTGCAGGCACTTGGGAGACAGTAAATGGGAGATCTCCCTGTTCTCTCTCTTTGCCTTTCAGATAAACTATGGGTTTGGGTGGTTCTCACACTGTTACTGTGCCCATTACAAAGCTAAAAATACCTGAGGCCTCCAGATGCTATCTTGGAAGAAGAAATAGCAAAGGTAGCAAGGTTCCTGGGAGGGTCTGCAGGCCAGGCTGGACTTCCACAAAGACCCCCTTTTTCATAGGGAACCCCCCTTCCCAGCGGGAGACCCCATCACCATCCCCTGGGGCAGAGGAGCCTTCAGGCTTTATCCTTTTTGTCTGGGCTTTAAAATTGCTTTTTTTTTTTTTTTAAGATTTATTTGTGTTTATTGGAAAGGGGGATATACAGAGGAGGAGAGACAGAGAGGAAGATCTTCCGTCTGATGGTTCACTTCCCAAGTGACCACAAGGGTCGGAAGCAAGCCAATCTGAAGCCAGGAGCTCCTCTGGGTCTCCCAGGTAGGTGCAGGGTCCCAAAGCCCTGGGCCGTCCTCGACTGCTTTTCCCAGGCCACAGGCAGGGAGCTGGATGGCAAGCAGGGCTGTCAGGATTAGAACCAGCAACCATATGGGATCCCAGCGTGTGCAAGGTGAAAACTTTAACCACTACACTATCATGCCGGGCCCTAAATTACTTCTAATTTTAATTTAAACTCTAATTAGCTGAGCCAGCTAAATGGTGTCAGTGCCTAGCGCCAAACCACCTCCCAGCACCCTCTCCTACACCACTGGTACAGACTTGGGTTGGGGACTGGCAAGGTGTGGATAGAACGGGACCAGCAGCTGACCCATTCTCCCTCCTGCAAGTGGAGATGAGAGGGGGCAGCGCAGGCAGGAAATCGCTTTCTGGGCTTTCCTGAGCCCCAGCTCCCAGCACAGGGGAGACCAAACGCCACACACCTCCCACAGGCCAAGACTGAGAGGGCATGCAGCATGGGACCAGTAGCTGTTCCAACTCTGGCCATTCCACAGCACAGGAATCTAAACTGGGGTGAGGCCTGTCTTGGGCCTCTGGCTCTGAATGCACACTATGAGCAAGATCTGAGCCATGGCCTTTGTGGGCTCTTGGGGACAACATAGCAAACCCCAAACCTTGTCTGAGGTAGGCTGGCACGTGTGGCTGCACACACACACACACACACACAAACATACAACACTCTCCAGGCCTCCCCCAAGCTCACATCCCTTCCCTTCCCAAACCGTCATCACACACCCTTCAGTCCCTGGTGCTGGTACCCACACCCAGCCACTCTCAGTTCCCTGCAATCAGCGGCTCCCTGATCACATGCTGCCAGTTTCATCCAGAGCGTAAGCCTCCCCCACAACCTCTCCTCCCAGCCATCCGCTCCCACGGCAGTCCTGTCACACATGTGTGCCTTGCACCAGAATGCCACCAGGTACAACGGTCCAGACACCCCCACATCACGCCCACAACCACTGTGGCCCTCTGCCAGGCTGTGCTCCACACCCCAGCTCCATCCCTGGCAGGAAGAAGGTGGAAGCCCAAGGGACTGGTCCCCTCCCTGGGTGACCAGGTCAGCCTGGGCACAGCGGAAGAACCACAAGTGAACATATATACACACACCTCTCTCTCTCTGACACCAGGGACTCCCACCACTAGCCTGTCCAAGGCTCTCATGGCCAGTAGGCGAGCATGGAGCATTGCAACTCAGGACCCCTCTAGGCAGGGGACACATCAAGCCACGGTACACCCATGCACACACAGTGACAAAGAACACGCAAAGAGATAGATACATAACACACACCCACGCCCAGACACAGGCGCATGCTAAGGAGACAGGGTCCTGGCACACGGGCTAGGGGCGGCAAGTGGCCCAGTTCCTTCTGACTGCGTTCAAGTGGTGGGGGGTGCTCCGTAGGGCTCCCCTCTCGCCACCGCGAGGCAGCTGAATGCCGGGCGCGCATTTACCTCCCCACCGCTCCCTCTACCTCCTCCCCCAGCGGGCTGGGGCCCCAAGGAGTGGCGTCTGGGTTAGGGGGAGGGGGGACCGATCGCACCAGGCCCGGGACCACCCGGAGAGCGGGGCTCCAAGGGGACGAAGGGGTGGGGCGGATACAAGGATGGGGTGGCGGGAAGGGACGCCGCCCCGCCTGGAGCCCGCTGGAGACAGACACTGAGGCAAAAGTGTCGGCGCCAGGAGGCGGCGCCGCGCGGGTCGCGCCGGGCCCCCCGGCCCCAGGAGCGGGAGGGGAAGCCCGGCGGGTGGTCCGGCCTCGACCCCGCGGCGGGAACGCTCGAGGAGGGGATGGGTGACGGCGGGGCGGGATCGAGGGGGCGGCCGAGCTGACCGGGGGGGACTGGATCGACGCCCTGAGGGTGGAGGCCGGGCGCCGTCCGCGGCGGGACCTTCGCCGCCGGCCACAGCTCAGTTTCTGAGCTTGAGAAACGGGAACCCCAAGCGCGGAGGGCAGGGAGGGGCGGTGCGCCCCGGAGCCGCCCGGATCCCGCGCCGGGCCCGACTCTCACTCACCTCCGGAGCACCGCAGGCGCCAGGGGGTCGCGCGGGGCCAGGGGTGGCGGCTCCCGGGCGCGCGTGGACGGGGTCTGATCGGGACCCACCACGGGCAGGCGAGGCGCGGCCCCGGGCCTGGGCTCCGTGGACCGACGCCTAGGGTCGCTCCGGGAATCGGAGCTGCCGCCGCCTCCCGTACCCGCGCCGAGGCACACGGAAGTGCGAGGGGGCGGAGCGGGGCGACCTCACCCAGGTGCCGGCCTGGCCCCGCCCCGCCAAGTCCACGCCCTCCCAGAGGCCCCACCCCGTCGGAGGCCACGCCCCACCCGGGAGACCCGGGGGCCTCCAGCCTTAGAACTTTCTGGGCCCCACGGGTCACTCCGCAGTGTTGCCCTCGCTGTGCTGCGCAGCGGCCGCGTGCCCTAGCCCTCCGTGAGCACGCACGACAGCCTTCACAGGGTGAGGACGCGGAGGCCCTCCCGGGGCGGTCGCCCCACGCCCCGGGACAGGCAGGCAGGCAGGCAGGCGCCGGCCAGGGGTGGGGGGTTCCCCAGTTCCACACGCCCACACTCGGGACTCCCCACTGGCCAGCTGGCCCGCCTGGCCTGGCTCGACTCCTTCCCTTCCTGCTGGCTGCAACAAGGACATGTCGCCAGGCCTGCCATCCCAGCCCAGCCCTAAAGACGGAGCTGGGAGGACTCCAGGGTGAGTCTCTGCCCTGCCCTGCCTGTCAGGAGATCCTAGCAGCTGCTCCCCCACCCCACCCCACTTGGGTCTCCCACTCTTCCAAAGTTTCCACAGCTTCCTTTTCACACGAGGTGCTGGGGTTGTGTGTTAAAGCTCATTCTTTCCTTGGCTCATACACTCAACAGGTATCCTCTGAGCCCAAAGCTTCGAGGCCAACTGGGGTCCTTGGCGGCCCTGGCTCAGAAATGTCACTTCCCAGAAGGCAAGAAGGAGGGTTCCAGGTTCCTGGTCTCTGTGGGGAGGCAAAGGATGGGCCAATGCCAAGGACTTGGGTCTTCTCAAGGAACAGTGCAAAGGTGCTGATGACAAGCTCAAGTGGTCTCCTGTGGGGTTGGATGGGCAGAGGGAGCGACAACAGGGAGACCAGAAACGGGGAAGCTGAAGACTGGGGAGGAGAGTGGGATAGAAGAGGCCAGACCTGGTGGGTTGCAGGGTTAGGAGGAGCCAGTTGCCCAGTGAGATTTCCCAGACAGACAGCACGGCAGAGACATGGAACAGAAAATTCTGTTGAAACCCCACTCATGACGCCTCCGACCACAGAGAAGGGAGACCCTGCTAACCAGTTTGAAAACGGTCAATGTCTAGAGGCCCAGCCCCATGGACTGCCCCCCAAGCCCACTGAGGTGGGCTTTTCCCACCAAGCTGGACCATCTAGCCACACTGCTCCCCTCATGAGCAGGCTGCTCCCTAGGTCAGATGCTTGGTCCCATTGCACAGCCAGTTCATACCTCTAGCTGTGTTGTTCCCTGCTTGTCCACAAACAATCTCTGGTACTCCTCTGAGCTGAGGGCTCCTGTCCACTGTCCCGTGCTGTGTCCTGGTCCTATCCCACCCCTCCTGCCTCACCTCCCCTACCCTGACTTCCCTGGGGCTGGGCCCAAAGAAAAGGTACACTAGGTGAGCTAGTAACCTTTGCCCACCTGGGATCAGATTTCTTTCCCAGATTCTCCTGCAGGTCCACAATGGCCAACATGAGCCACTCCCTCAACATCAACAATAGGCTTACCCTGTGCCAGTGATTGTGGGGCAAGGACTGACCCTCAGGAGCTCCAGGCCCAGGCACCGGCCCAGACCCACGTTCCCACACCCTGTGGCTCTCCAGGGAAAAAGGAAATGAAGAATAATGACTCCCACTGATGGGTCAGGCTGGGTGTTGGGCACAGGCAGTCAGTCTGAGCAGGCCTCAAAACTCCTAGGGGTGGGGGCAGCTGTAGGTGCCAGTTTGGGGGATGCTCAGAATGAGGCTCAGAGAGAGGTGGGGCTGCCAGCCTGACAGTACACAGCCAGCAAACGCCAGAGGTCGGCCTCAGACAGCAATCAGCTGGCTCCACAGTCCACTCGCTTAGCTAGGGGTTCTCTTACCTCAGGGCCAGGTGGCTCCTTGATGTGGGTGTTGTTCTCTGCACCAGAGAAAGTCTGGCAACACTCCAGGTACCAGTGAGTGGTGTCCTTTGTAACTTGTCAGACATTGACAAGTTGTCAGTGTCATTGCCAATGCCTCGTGGGAGCCAGCATTTCCTGCTGTCAAGAATTACCCCTTTAGAGAGAACTAGAGTTGCAGGAATAAGAAAGATTCAGATTAGACTCCAGAAAGCGTTTTTATGATTCTCAGGTTCACACACATTGCATGCATACAAGGGTCTCAGCCAGTCTTTTCCTCTGAAGCCACTAAGAGGAAGAGCAGGGTACTCACAGAGGGGCAAGAAGGTCAAACCTGGGCTGGCCATGCTGTGGCAAGGGCAGAGGAGCAATACCAGTGCACGTCCCTCTAGAGGCAGGTTCCCAGGGAGGACAGATGTGTGGAGTTCTGGGTGACCAGGCTAAGCTTAGCTGGAGCTACCTTGCTTCCCGGGGCTGCTCTTGGGTGGGCCAGGATATGGTTAGGTCCCCATAACCTGCTGGCACCAACTTCAGAAGGGCCCAGAGAGCCAACCTCAGCTGTGACACAATGCTAACAGTGTGACTCTGAGCAGGCGACCACAGCTCTCACCTGGATGACAGACTGATAGCAGGGACTAAGAGTTAGTGAGATGAGACGCATGAAGCCTCAGCTGGAGTGGCCAGCAGGAGAGGCCTCGGCCCACGCTAGCCAGCAGTCCAGGCATAGTCCTTGGGCCAAGGCCTGAAAGAACCCACGATGGCCTCTTATGACACGAGTATGAATCTCTAAGCAGGGCTGGGCTCGCGGCAGCTGCCCAGGAGTGACACTTTCCTTTTCGCCTCTTCCCAGGTTTACAGCCATGGAAAGAGTCCAGGCAGGCCCTGGGTAGTGCGCAGCCCAATGTTGGGTCACAGAAGAGCAAGTCTGGTCCTAAGGTCGGGACCTCATAGCGGACCCTCAGGTGGGAAGTCCAGGACTCAGCCAAGCAACCCTGGAAAAGGACCTGCCCCACTCTGTGTCCCTGGAGACCACCCAGCCGAAGGTAGGATGGGGTCCTGCCCTCAATCCCTGCCAAGAAGGTCCTGGTCTTGGATTTTCTGCCCTGTGTTCTGCTTCTGCCACTCTTGCCGTCCTCCTCATTGCTGAAGCTTTGGCTGCCAGGACTGTCATCCGAGAGAACATTGGCCTGGCCAAGTCACAGTGGGCTCGTGGCTCAGGAACACATTGCACAGGTCAGCACAGGGGGTGATGTACCTGGACAGCTATTGAGGACAGCATCGCCCCAGAGGATCATGTTGGGGGCGGTGGGAAGGGGTCGTAGGACATACCCAGGTCTCCAAGACTGTCCTTGACAAGGATTTCAGTCTGAGATACAGGGGCCAGCTCAGGGGCAGCAGGGAAGTGCCAGGCCAGGAGACTGAAGGAGCCAGGTCCACATCTGGACTCCATGCCCTCACCTAGGAATGGTTGTGGTGACAGTGGGCACCTGCTGAGTGGGTAGGGAGGATGCAAGAGGTCAAGGGTCCTGAGGTCCCAGAGCCAAATTCAAGCCCCACTGGTGTTACTGGACCAGTCTTCTCCAAGTCCCTTCCTCCACAAAGCTGATTGAGATTTGAGCTAGACTTGGGGACAGAAAGAGGAAGGAAGGCCAGCCCTTGCCAGTTCAGGAGGCCATGTCTCTGGGCTCCAAAAAGAGGGTGGAGGGGTATGGGATATGGCGGTGTTGGTATAAATGGCTGCCCCCTCCCACAGAGACCTGGGGAGCCCCATCCCCCCCCCACGCAGCACTGATCCGCCCTGCTTCACCCTAGTTGGACACAGGCACCCACCCACGGAGAATGGAGAAGCTGGGTCTCACTAGCCCGCTCTCAACTCCTCGCAGCTGCTGCCTCGGTTTCCCTCTTCAGAGGCCCGCTCAGCGAGCCTACCTTGGCTGTGGAAGAACAAAATGCGGGAGATGCTTGGAATTTCAAGGCGGCCCTTTCAGGCAGGGGAGGGAGAGGAGGAGTGGTGCACTTGCACCCATCCACACCCGTTCGCTCAGCCGCGCCCCTGCGGGCCCAGCCCAGCCCAGCCCTGGGACCCACGCCACCCGGGGCTCGGCCCCCAGGAGGCCGGGGCGAGCCGGAGGCGGAGCCCGTCCAGGCCCGTGACGCAAGCTCGGCTATAAAAGCCGAGGCTCTATTCCCGGTCCCGCAGCCACCTGGCGGCCGGCGGGTTCCCCGTTTCCCCGCCGCGCGGAGGCGTCTTCTCCCAGTGGGTCCGAAAGTCAGGAAGACCTGGCACGCCCACTTCCTGGATGGCAACCCCGAGGTCTTTGGTAGTGAAGGTCTGAGGGTCGTGCTGCTTGGCTCCTGTTTGAAAGTCTCTGAGAAGACTGTGAGGACTACGGCTGAGGTGCCACGGATGAGGAGGGAGAGTCACGGAACGCTGGAACAGGACGGTGGAAAGCAATCCACTTCCATTCAAGACAACCGCTAGGCCCCCACCCCACCCCACGCTGTCAGCGCGTGGTGGAAACTGTTCTGAGGCACCGTCAGAGAGGGCCTCCTGATGGAGGTGTCTGTGTAGTCCACAGAGGCGTGCCCAGCCCCCTAATCCCAGCACCGGGGCAGAGACGAAGCCTGGGCCCCTGACCCAGACTTCACCCAGGGTTTGCCAACAGTTCTGGGCAGAGCTGTGAGCTGGGGCAGTGGGCAATGCTGGGGAAGCGGTTGGGCCAGTTGGACCAGCAACACTTAAGCAAGGCACCTGCCTGCCCAGCCAGAGGCAGCTTTCCTTAGGGAACTCCTCCCCTCACATACACTTGTACCAGCATCCTGTCAGCCTCGGTTTCCTCATCTGTCAGATCTGCACCCCTCAGGGCTGCTCTGTCAGACCTGGAAAGCCCTGTGTCCACCACTGGAAGCTCTGGTCATATCTCCCCAGGGCCAGGAGCTCCCCAGCAGAGATGAGTCTCATCCCCCAGTGCCCAGCAGCCCGCACTAGGCAGGGGCGTCTCCTCAGAGGGCTGCGCTGCACTGTCCACCTGCCGCCCGCATGCCACAGGCTGTGGCCACAGCTGCTAGGCAGGCAGCCAGGCGGC